ACAAATATTTTCTCTCAATCCATAGATTCTCTGCATACTATTAATTATTTCCTTTGCTGTGAAGAAGCTTTTAAGTTTGATGTAATCCCACTTGTCTTTTGGTACTTTTGTTGCCTGTGTTTTAAGGGTCAAATTCAAAATACCATTGCCCACATCAGTTTTGCCTGGTTTTCTCTGTATATTTTCTTTTAGTGGTTTTATAGTTCATGGTCTCACATTTGTATTTAAGCCATTTTGAGTTGATCTTGTGTGTAATATGAGATAAAGGTCTATTTCATTCTTCTGCATGTGGCTATCCAGTTTCCCCAGCCTCATTAATTAAAGAGACTATCATTCTGTATAATCCTATTCTGGTTTCCATTTGAGTGGAATACCTGTTCCCATTCTTTCACTTTCAATTTGTGGTATCTTTAAAAGCAAGTGAATTGAATTTCTTAAAGGCAGCATATATACATGGGTCTAGGGTTTTATGTTTTGTTTTCCTTTAATCCATTTAGTCACTATATTTATATTAGAGAATTCAATCCCCTTTAGTAAGGGTAATTATTAATAGGTAAGAACTTACTACTCCTCTTCTGTTAGTTGTTGTTTTCTGATTATTTTATAGATACTACATTGTTTCGTTTTTGCACTCTTAATATGTTCTTTTGAGGTTTGATTGTTTTCTGTATTGGTGTCCTTTGATTTCTTTCTATTTTGCTTTGTGCTTCTATTCTAAATTTTTATTTGTGGTTTTTCTTTGCATTTTCTTTGTAGTTACTATGAGACCACAGCTGATATCAAGCTGTTAGCAATTTTATTTCCTAAAACAACTATGTACTTTTACTCCGTAAAAGAATTTTATGTTTTTTTGTCAGAATTTACACAATTCAGTAATATATATTCTTTGACAATTTGTTTCAGCAATAGTTGTTATAAATAGTTTTGTCTTTTAACCCTTGTACTGCAATGAAATTGCTTTATGCACCAACACTACAGTCCTAGAATATTCTGAATATGGGGCTCAGAGAAATCCTGAGGGACAGGACAGTCAGAGTAAGACTCTTCTTTGCCTTCCTGATTTGGCTTTACTTTAGTTCTATAGATCAAATGGCTGCCTCAGGCTAGTTTCCAAGTATCCTGGTTTTCAAAAAAATGTTCTGGTCTATAGATGGTTGCTAGTTGAACTTTTTGTGGGGAGGAGTGTTTGAGTTGGAGACTTCCTATTCTGCCATATTGCTGATGGTATTCATTATAGATATTTCCTATCCACATCCAGTTTTCTCTTGCAGTTCTCCTTTGTGTTTGGGGTTTCTCTGCTGCAGGCACAGACATCCTTAGATCTTCCTGTGACTACTTTTCTTTTGGAGACTGACTGCAAAGCTTCTGTTCCAAGCTGCTTGGTGCTCTTCTTTCCAGGCTCTGAACTCCAGACACCCTCAGTCTGACTGCATATATGTGACTATGTGTAGTCCTGTTCACATGGCTTCTTTTCTTTTACTCCTCACTAAGCCCCTGCCCCATCTCATAATCATTTTGCTTTTCTTTCCTTTTTTAAAAAATTTGTTTTCCTTTAAAATTGGGGCTACAAAACACAGGAAAAGCAAAGAGAGGTTTAAAAAATTAGAGGAAAGGAAAACATAAAATTGAAAATTAATGGAAACTATTGGAGAAAAATAACCCCCTTTCATAACATTATTTTTAGTGACTTACTTTTGTGTTATATTCCTACACTCAATAGAACCACAGAAAACCATTCAAAGTATTGTTAAAGACCCCTGTCCAATGAAAGACCCCCGTATCCCTGTCCAAGGAGAATGACACGAAACACTGGCTGCAAAAGCAAGAGGTTTGTTTATTGGGACACAGGCGCCTGTGGGTGCCCAGCAGAACCTCAGCTTTGGTGAACTGGCACACCGGGCTTAGGGTTTAGGACAGGTTTCGCGCGTGGGGGAAGCAACTGGTTTCTTATTGGTTTCTTTAAATCTAGCATACCCACAGGTTTACATTCCGTTGCTTATCTGTTCCGGTTTATTCATGCAAGCCCCAGGATGTGGGTGCTCTGTTCTTCAACCGGTTGTCTGGAAAGCATGCCTGAACCTGGTATCTTGGGTTTCATATCTTGGCCTTAGGTAACTGGGCTAACTGGGCTAGGGTCTTTCAGTATCAGAAATTATTAATACATAGTTTAATACTTATTGTAAATATTTGCACATCAAGCATGTTTCTCTAAAATGATAAAAATATACACTTGATGAATGTTATGGTTTAGATATGAGTTGGTCCCCCTGCTGCCCCAGGAAAAGCTCATGTGTAAGACAATGTAAGACAATTTAGAGGTGAAATGATTGGGTTATGATCACTTAATCTTAATCATTGCATTGATCTACTGTAAGGATAGCCTTAGGACTAAGCCAAAGCAACTCCATTTTAAAACTCCAGTTTGAAACCTGTAGTCTCACCAGGCCTCCAGTATGGCTCTCAGGCACAAACAAATCACTTGTCCCCTACACTGACAGACTCAGAGTAAAGTCTCTGGCATGTTGTCCTTGTCCCATAAAGGGGAAAGGTGACAAAATCAGGGTGGGGACCACCAGACCAGATGTTTTAACCCCAGGGTAAACCATGTAACTGAAGACCTGGTGGCAGCTGATGGGGATTGAAAGGGTGATCAAAAGCCCCAAAATTTGGTATAAAAAATGGAGCAAATGAACAGACATTCAGCCGGCTGACACTGATGCCCTCACGCTGGAGAGCCTGATGAGGATCTGGACTGACATCCCAACTCTTCTCATTATTTGCCTGATCCTCTGCATTTTCCTCACTGTTCTCAAACTCTACAGCCACATCTTGACCCTGGTGAGAGCCATGGCTTCTCCTTACAACCCTCTCCTCAACTGGCTGTCAGCTCCACCCCAGGTGAAGCCAGCCTTGGTTCCTGACCTGATCACCAAGGTCTGAGTAAGAGTGCATCTGCTGGATTTAGAGCCTAAGGCTTGAGACTTTTGATCTGACGCTTGAACTTAGCATGCAGAGGGAATGTCTGTCATGAGCCTGTCATGATTAAGTGTGTTTGCAGTGCTTAGAATTAATCTAGAATTGTTTGCTGTGAATTGATTATGTCTATTGCAGTGCCTAGCATTAAGAATTGTCATTTTCTTGATTAAGAACCTATAGAGTGAAACTGTATTGAGTGATCTGAGTGAATAAAGCATTAATAAAGGCAGAGGCGTGTGGACATTCTTTATTTCTCCCCAGCGACTGCATAAGTCGCACCTTTTTGCCATTGTGACATCCACTGATAAGAATTAAGTGGATGGTAATTGTAGAATGGTTGGAGCATGTGGGTTCCTGGGGGTGTGCCCTTGGGGTTTATATTTTGTCTGTGGTGAGGGAAGCAGTCTCTGTCTGCTTCCTGGTGGCCTCATCCTGAGCTGCTTTCCTTCTCCACACTCTTCTACCATGATGTTCTGCCTCACCTGTCTAGAGAAATGTAGCCCAAGATAAGGACCAAATAAAACTTTCCTCCTCTAAAATTGTCCTTGTCAGGTCTTTTGGTCACAGTAGGGAGTGGGTGGGGGAGGAAGCTAAGCTACAAAGAGATCATTAAATACCTAAAAGTTACTGGAAATTAGAGTCTGATTAGCTACCCACCAGTAGCAGATCCATTTGAATTTATCTCTACCAACTCAAATTGCAGAAAATTACTCCAAAAAAGTGATTATGGTGGCTCAGTTGTTAAGTCCACTGTCAAATTCATCTTCATTTATGGATACATATACTGTTCTGTCTACTAGAATGCCTGAGCCTACTAAATTTAGAAAGATCTTCTTACAAGGTTGACCTTTGGTTGGAGTCTGGAAACTTAAGCAGTAAACAGTTGTCTATACTGATATAAAAGTTTTGTTAAGTCATCAAAGCATTTCTCCACTCCTAGATTATACAAACAACATGGTTCATGAGCCCAACACCTACTCTCCATCTGGGAGTCTAGAATTTTGATACATTCTTAGAAGAAGTTACCCACAGGTCCATATTTTTTTTAAATGAAAATTGGGATACTGAGTCTCTAATAAACTTCCTGTTAACAACACTTCACACACATTGTTACAACTGGTTGCTGGAGGAATTAAGTCCTGTGTGATTCTATTGAAAGAGGACTATTGGGAGATTGTGCCTGATTTCCTACAAACTTCTTCCCATGTGCCTTTTTCCCTTGTTGATTTTGCTTTGCATCCTTCACTATCATAAATACTAGCTCTGAAAGTACTAAATACTGAGGCTGGTGAGTCCTTCTCTAAATTATTCCTAAATGATTTGGTCCATCTCTAAATCAGTCCTTCCCTGAATCACTGAATGTAATAATGGTTTTGGATACCTCTGATATACAAAGTTTTGTTGAAAGGTTCACATTAAAATATATAGATTCTAAATAAGTTATTAATGCATTATTTGTGAATAGAATTATTCTAAGTGAAACTAAGTAAATAGCCTGCCATGATTTTAAGAGAGTCACAACGTGGTGACTATATCTACATACAGAAGTATGCAATGTTTTTCAATTAACTGAGTCCAACTAGAATAAGGCAAATACAAAAATCTTATTTCTATGGAAGTAGAATCTTATTCAGATTATCAGAAAATCTAGAGGTATATAAGTTAGCCTAATGGGAACAAGTAGGTTTTGAAAGGTTATGATAACTAGAAGTAGGGAAAAAGAGAATTTTGAAAAGGGGAAAGTTGCAAATGGGTAGAGGTTATGACCAAAGATGTAAAATATAGAGCATATCAGGAAATAAAATATAATAATCACTTCTGCATATTTCCCAACACTCTTAGAATCCCAATAAATTGAATGCTTTATTTATAACTCAGTCTTTTCTATAAATAATGGATTATCTATGGAGGCCCATCAAAATTCAGTGATGCCTTAAATGTGTTCCTGTTATCAAGCTGAAGCACAGAAACTTTATTCTGCTGGTTTCTAATTATACTTTTCTTTTCTGCCTCTCCTTTGTAAGGTCCATCATGAGTGAGAAATGGGACTCAAACTCTTCAGAAAACTGGTATCACATCTGGAGTGTCAATGACACACAGCATCACCTGTATTCAAACAGTAGTATTACCTATGTGAACTACTATCTTCACCATCCTCAAGTGGCAGCAATCTTCATTATTTCCTACTTTCTGATCTTCTTCCTGTGCATGGTGGGAAATTCCGTGGTTTGCTTTATTGTTATGAGGAATAAACACATGCATACTGTCACTAATCTCTTCATCTTAAACCTGGCAATAAGCGATTTACTGGTTGGCATATTCTGTATGCCCATAACACTGCTGGACAATATTATAGCAGGTATGTTGACTGCATAGTGCATGGTTGATGTAAGAAAGGTTTGAAACATATCCCTATAGCCAGGGCAGGGTCATTTCCTTGCAAATATTTATGCAGTTCCAGGAACTACTCCAGGTACCTGTTCTCATGGGGTATACATTCTAAAGGAGGAGACAACACTAAACAGAGCATTTGAGAATAAGAATTATGGGGAAAATTAACTCAAGTGACAGGGATGGAGAGTGTAGGCTATTCTTTTTATAGAGTGTTCACTAAATATCCTAAGAGTATGATATCTCGCATTTCTTACCAAAACATTTGAATTTGTTAAATATAGACAAAAGAACATAGAGTATAGCATGAATATTATTAAGAACAATATTAGGACTGTACGTTTCAGAGAACTGGTGCATCTGATTGCAGTTGATGTACTTGAACATAACATCATAGAAATTTCAATCTAATAATATACAGACATTTAGGCCCTGTTGTGGTTAGCCAGAGAGATTTCTATCAGTTTTTGAGGGAATATGAAGCAGTCATGATGATTTCTCAAAACATGACAGTTTACACGTACAACGTAAGTCGTATCACACTGAAAAGGTTAGGTATCTCCTTTCTAGGACTTCTGTGTCCACATTATTGCTTCTCAAGCACCACCTTAATGTGTTCTAGAAGTATAGAAGCAATGTATTTCCAGATAACCACAGCGTTTTGATACTTAGAACAAAGTTAATATTCATTGTGTTAATGGAGAGCACTCAAGATATTCACATTCAAATCTGCATAAGAACAGTGAAATAATCACAGCCTATTGAATAGCCCTACCATAGCCTTTCATAGCACTCAACATCAATTCACTGAAAAATAGGAAAAGAGCTTTCTTTCTTTTCATCCATTTTCTCCTTCCTTTCTTCTGGAGTAGTTGCCTGCCAAGGATAATTCTTCGGGGTGCTTATTCTATCAGTTCTGTCCTGAATTGATCAGGAGAATTTCTGACACTTATCATTAAACAAATACTTACTAAGGATGTAACATTTTTTCAAGATACTATACTAGACAAAGAGAGTGAAGGAATTGATAAAAAAAAAAATGGTTGTTCTCAGGTAAGTCACATTGTCAAAAAGTAGTTTTAATATCTTCCCCAGAAATATTTTTTAAATTATTATTTAACAATTTTGCATGTAAATTATTCTACCTTATCTCTTGATTTTTATTCCAAGTAGTTAGCCCCTTTCAGCACTTTTTATCTTTATTTTTGGTAATGAATAACATTTTTAAAAAATATTGTTTTCAACATGATGGTTTTCTTCCATCTGTACAAGACACAAATTTTGTTCTCATAATCCACTTCCACTGCATAAAGAGAAACATAAATTCACACACTTCACCTTCTTTCATTCTCCCAATATAGCAATGAACAGTTCTATTGAAATCAATATCCAGATATTTAAATCCAATATCCAGAATATACGTTTCTATTTTATGTGTATCTTACCCTTGCTGAACTGTGGAAAGTGTTCTGATAGCAATTTCTCTTCTATAAAATGTTGTTTTGTTTTTCTTGATTTATGGAGGTCATCACACTTTGATTAGTGTATTCAATCTAACAATATACAGACATTTAGGCCCTAGTGTGGTTAGCCAGAGAGATTTCTATCAGTTTTTGAGGGAAAAACTTGTTTTCTGCTGTGTACCTGTCAGTAATGTATCCTCAAATTCTCTTCCAGGACTCTCACGTTAATAACTTCGTATATCTATGGTAACTCATGAACTGCATCTTTTTCCTACAGTACCTCTCCAGGTATTCTCTGACCTTTGTACTGTCTGGATTTTTTCTCTCCAAGCACGGAGCACAGAAATTTATCTGGAATACCCTTCGCTGGTATTCTGACAATTATCTTCACCTTTCTTTGCGTTTTTGTGGATACCATGTCTTCTTCTTTCTTAGCTTATTCTTTCCTGAGAAATAGCACATTGAGATAAAACATATTTGAGACCTTGCATATCTGAAAGTATCTTTGCTTTGCCTCACACATGATTTTAGTTAGCACATGTGAAAAATAATGGTTCAGAAATTTCTTCCCTCAGAATTGTAGAGGTATTGCTCCTTTATTACTGTTGGGAAATGTGGAGTCACTGATGAAAAAATCTAGTGCCTTTTGACTCCTGCTTCTTTTGTTCGTGACTAACACTTTTCCTTCCTGAAAGCCTTTTGAACTTGTCTATATGCCTAGTATTCTGAGATTCATGATATGAAACTTTGTATTACATCTTTTTGGTTTTTATTTGTTGTATTAGATGCAAACTAGATATTTCAATCAGAAAATTAATTTTTTCAATTTTTCTTCCAGCCTTTAGATTAATACTTTATCTCTGTTATCACATCTTAAAATTTTTGAGTATTTTTTTTTATCTCTTGCACCTTCCTCATACTGTCATACTATACTTGTTTCATGGATGAAATTGCTTCCTGCAAGTTCCCTGTGCAGGAGGTTGAGGTAGACCATTCCCAGCTTCAGTAGTTAGGGACTTTCATAGGGAAGTGCATGGCCATTAAATCTGCATGTCAGTGTTCTTGGAGTCATTGTCCCCTGAAGTTTGTTCTCTGGTTTGTTGCTATAGGGACATAAGACTGGTTTCTACATTTCAGAGCTGAATGGGTCTCTGGGTCTGCAGTCACTTAATCCTTGGTCATCACTATGGCATCCACTAACCCTGCACTTGGTGAATGAGCTTTAAGCCTCTACTCTTTTGCCAACAGAGGAGAAAAGCCAATGACATGTGATTGGATTTATTTATAATTTCCACTGTCATCTTGTTTTCCCAACTTTGCACACAGTAGTATCTGGCACCTTGGTTTCAATGGATTTCTGCTTTTATGCTTTGGTACTTTCATTTCAATGAAGTTTGATGAGGTATATAAAGTAAAATTTAGGCTTATTCTTTCATGTTCACCCCAGGGTTACATACTGCCTTTCACCTTTTTTAAAAAATAATATTATTCACAACCTAACAAATTTTAGGACTGTGGAGACATTTAGTTTCCATTCAGTAGTCACTCAAGTACTTATTTTAAGATGTTCTAGACAGATGGTGGTGTTTTCTTGTTTTTTTTTTCAATATAGCTAAATTATTAAGTATGAAATATTTTATACTAGATAAGAATATTTTGCTTTCGAAAAGTAAGTTGCAGAATATTTTTAAAAGATAAATTTTAGAAATATGAAGCACGTGTACAGAATATTTTCAAGTGGAAGAATATTGTTATTTCTCTTTAATAACAGAAGAGCATTTTGAATATCAAACTGTTATAAATTTTTTACCAATTTCTTTTATAAATTTTCTAGTACCTGAGGTTCGGTTAGGAGGTAATGAAAATAGACTACTTTTGTCTGTGCAAGGGGCTCTTCATTCTGGATGTAGCTCTGATATAAATTATTTTGTTACATTATATGTAAATAAATATAGCTTATTTATTCTATATGTAACTCCTGGTTTCTTATAATTTATGGAGTATATTTCCAAATTATCAAAACAACATTCTAACTCTTTTCTTTATTTAAGAGGTATTATTACATAAGGGTTAATGGTTTGAATTTTGGAAACCTATTACCTGGGTTAGGATCCTTATTAAGCTGATAACTAGCAATGGCAAGGTATGTGATATTTGTTTGATGCCTTGCCTACACATATCTTGAAGATAATAAAGCTTTCACAAGCTTGTCATGGAAAAAAAAACTTGTCATGGGAATCAGCTATGTTAACAAATGTAAAGCACTTATCATAGTGGCTAGAATATGGGAATTACTGTATAATTTTTGACATTGTCATTAGTGTGCTAAAAAAAGGAGGGTCTGGAAAAATTGGTGAAAATACTGAGAAGCATTGTTCTGTGGCTATCATTAAGAAAACAGTTACCTTACTCTTGATGTCACATCATTCTCTTCATAATTTCAGTGATGATAAATGATCTTTTAAAAAACTGTTCCATCTTCCTTTCAGGATGGCCATTTGGAAATACAATGTGCAAGATCAGTGGATTGGTCCAGGGAATATCAGTTGCAGCTTCAGTCTTTACTTTAGTAGCTATAGCAGTGGATAGGTAAGTCAGCACCAAGTTCTGAATCCAGGGAAACAGACATGTCTGCAATGAACACACCAAAAAACATATAATCTACTACATGTGCACAAATCTTCCCCAAATAGTATTCATAAATTACCTTTTTAAGAACAAGGCATGTACCTACTAAAGGTTGGGTGATAAGAAAATAATCTATTAAACTATATATATTTCAAAGTAACATAATTAAAATATTACTGTTTTACATTATTTCACACTGGAATCTAGAATTTTCTAATGGTAGAAAAACAAAACATGCTGAAAAAAATCTGAAATATTCAGATTTTAAGGTTAAAACTCATTTATTTATCCCTTCATTTACACACTTTTTTGAAAGTTTATGATGTACTGGGTACTGGTCGTATAACATCTAAAATCAAGAAGATCAAGTGTTGCCTTAGGAAATCTATAAACTGATGGAGTAGTCAGACCTATTTAAAAATACTTACTGCTCATTAATAGGGGTGCAGTACATAACAGTCATTGAAAGGAGAGCATGATTAGTTGTACCTGTTAAAACAGGGAGCACTAGGCAAAGAAGAGGTGATGGGTCAGGAACTGACCTTAGGAAGAAACTGGGGAAAGGACACCTTTTAAGATAAGCATGTACATGGGATGCTTAAAACGGGGGTGGGGGTGGAAGGACTTATCTAGAGAAGGGCAGACGCAGTTCTGCTAGATCAAGGAGAGCCTAGTGGCATATTAGGCTACAAAAGGAGGCAAAGGTGGAATTTCAACGAGCTCATCTCTCATTTTAAGCAGTGTGAACTTTGTCTAGAAAACAACAGAGAGCTATTGAAGTTTTTGAATCAGGAGAGTAACATCTAGATTTTCATTTTAGATACATTAGTAGCAAAGGAAATGGGCTGGAATTGTTCCAGATAAGAGAAAGTGGATCTGTTAAGACACTTTGTAGCATCATAGACAGGAGAGGGTGTACATGTGTAATAGGACAGTGGCTATTGGATGAACAGATACTTGAGGGATAAGTGAAAAATGAACTGAAAAATAGGCTATCTACCTGAAACTAGCCGAATAAAGGAACAGGAAACAACCAAACAACAGCATCAGGTGTGTGCAGAGAGAGAGTGAGAGAGCCAGGTTAAAAAGATGAAATGAAATGGAATTATTAACATCAGAGGAACACAATTATAGATTGCATTTTTAATATTTATACCATCATTTACACATTGCTGTAACCGTTTTCCAAGAACTTATCATGTAGATCTTTGTTTATTTGGTTTATAAGTAAGACGGTATAATTGGAACATTTGTTAATCACCATATGCCAAAGATATAAGATTTACATTTAAATTTGGGGCTTACTACATACTATACTACTACTATAATTACACTGTTTTACTATTTATATACTTACTTATACTACTATTAATAATACAAATGCTACTATTAAATTGTTTTATTATAGAATATTTTAAATTCTGTATTTTAGTTATATAAATATAATATGTATATTTAGAGTGAATAAAAACTACAATATTTGCATTTTCTACTTGAATTTTGAGCTTATCATGTATACTTCCACATTACATTTAGTACTTAAATATTCTTAAATTCTTTTTCACTATTTTTATATGTCCCTGGAATAGATGTGGAAATAAACATTAATCTTAATTAAAAAATAATAATATTAGAATCAATAGACAAATTGTGCTATATATATATATTCAATGGATAGCTTCACAGTGATTAAAATGAAACAGTTATTAAATGATTAAAATGAATGAGTCAACACAAATCAGCATGATTATATTTTAAAAGTATAAACTCTCAAAAAAGAGATTTCAAAATAAAATATACATTATCATCCATTGTAAAACATTATAGGTTTAAATTAATACTGAAAAAGTATAAAAAACATAGGAGGGATAGGTAGGCACGTCAGAATGTCTAAGAAAAGAGGAAGAATAGAAATGAGTAGATTGGCAATAAGGATTTTGACTGCATGTGTAATATTTATTTTACAAATGTCATGTAAATATGACAAACATTTAACATTTGTTAAATTTGGATAGCAAGAGCACATTCTTGATACACATTATATTTTTCTTCCAGTTTTTATGCTTGATGTATTAAAAGAACAGATGAATTGCTAAATGAATATAAGAATATTTTTATTTGTATGCTACAATGCTTTGATTTTTCAGAGATATTAAATTATAATTGTGTTTTACATATGTTTAATATTTTTACAGAGGTAATTTTAGTTTTACTCATTTCAATTTTAAATGTTTTGGAAGGGGCACCAGTAAAACCAAAACAATAGGAACTGTCATTTTTTAATGAATGTTTATTTTAAAAGATTGATAATGACAAAAAGCCAAATGACTATAATTGAAAAACTGATCCTGCCTTTGTAAAATAAAATCCTTCAATGAATCCCCACTATTCTCTGGATAAAATGTAAACTCTTTAGCACAGTTATATATAAAATTATGTGTGTGTGTCTGGGTATACATATATAAAGATAGATGTAGAATGAAAAAAATACTATTTGAAACACCATGAGTTCATCTTTTTTGAAAAAGAGAAGCAAATACCTAGAAATTAACTCTAGGTAACGCTTATGAAGTTAACCCTAATTTAAAGGTGGATAAATGGACGAATTCATTGCTGAGAAGACTAGAGGGACACTTAGAGGTCAAGGGAGAAGAACTTATTGAAGAAGGAATAGGATGGATGCAGAGCAGTCAAGCCCAAGCTGATTAGTTATTCTCTGAAGACATGTCCCCTAAATTAATCTGGAGTTGTTGTTCAACCACTAGAAGCTCTAAATTTCCTTATCTGCAGATCTGACCAGTAATCAGTTTCATAAAATTTCATTTTTAACAAGTCATTATGAAAATCTGAAAAGATTAAATAGGGACTAGTACTTTGAAAAATGGCAAACTTGCATAATAATAGTATGAGTGTATTATAATAATACATTAAACTTCAATAATAACAAGTTCTACAATAACAAAAGAGTACTAAAATGAATCAGGCATACTCTAATACTGATGTTGAATTTTCATGCTCAGCAGAGGACGGCAGAATGTCAGAAAGGCTCCAAATCAGAACTCATAATGGAAAATCTCAGACTCCTACAGCCGTGGAACAAATTGCTAAAACATTTAGTAATTTGACACAATTAATGCTTTATTACTTCTTATGATTCTGTGAGTTGACAGGGCATCTTTCTGTGGTTCTCCTGCTCTGTGTGTGATAGCTGGAATCACTAACAGTGCAGTGTTACCCTGGGAATTCAGCTGAGGCTGGAACATCCAAAATGACCAACCTGTCATCCCCCAGGGCCTTTTCCCACATGCCTCTCATCTAATTCAAGCTTTTAGAACCTGGGAGCTGAATTTTAAGAGGAAGCATTCCAAAAGGACACGCCCCAATGTGCACGAAAAGCTTCTGTTTGCATCATGCTTGCTAATTAATGTCCTATAGGCCAAAGCAGGTTTCATGGCCAAGTGCACAAATGATGTGTTGGGGAGCAGAAAAGAACAGGAGGAGAAAAAGTCATCGATGGCTACTGATTAACAGGCTACCACAGCCTAAGAGCTGGCAGTTTACTGAACACACTGTGGAGGTTAAGAGCCTGAGCTCTGGAGCTGAACTCTTTGTATTAAAATCCAGACAAGATTTTTGCCTTTTCTAAGTTGATTTCCTCAAATTATTTCACCAAGAGAGACTTAAAGTGACCATCCATACATGAAACATTGCCTGGAGCACAGTCTTATGTGGTCATATTAAAAAATATATCACTTACCATTATTACTATTATGCTCCAATTTTTTTCAAATTTTGGATTAAAATATATCTCATATATAAATTACAGAAAATAACAATACATGGCTTTCTACCACAAATAGTAACTTTCCGTGTTTTTGAGGGAAATGAGGGTGGGAGGTCCTTAATAATTTAAATAAAGTGGATTCACGACTTGGTTGGAAGTTATGAGGCAATGCCTCATTCATGTTTGCCTTTAATTGCAGATTCCGGTGTGTTGTCCACCCTTTTAAACCAAAGCTCACTATCAAGACAGCATTTGTCATTATTGTGATCATCTGGGTCCTGGCCATCGCCATTATGTCTCCATCTGCAGTAATGTTACACGTACAAGAAGAGAAATATTACCAAGTGAGAATCAACTCTCAGAATAAAACCAGTCCAGTCTACTGGTGCCGGGAGGACTGGCCACATCAGGAAATGAGGAAGATCTACACCACTGTGCTCTTCACTACCATCTATCTGGCTCCCCTATCCCTCATTGTCATCATGTACGGAAGGATTGGGATTTCGCTCTTTAAGTCTGCAGTGCCTCATACAGGCAAGCAGAGCCAGGAGCAATGGCATGTGGTATCCAAAAAAAAGCAGAAGGTCATCAAGATGCTCCTGACCGTGGCTCTGCTTTTCATTCTCTCCTGGCTACCCCTATGGACTTTGATGATGCTCTCAGACTATGTTGACCTCTCTCCAAATGTACTGCGGATCATCAACATCTACATCTACCCTTTTGCACACTGGCTGGCCTTCTGCAACAGCAGTGTCAACCCCATTATATATGGTTTCTTCAATGAGAATTTCCGCCGTGGTTTCCAAGATGCTTTCCAGCTCCAGGTCTGCTGGAAAAGAGGAAAGCCCCAGGAAGCCTATGTCCTAAGAGCTAGAAACAATGTGCTCATAAACACAACTGCTCAGCTCGCCCGGGAACCTGAATTTCAAAACCCACACGGGGAAAATTTGCTTTATGGAAAAAGTGCTGAAAACCCCCAAAAGGAATTAGCAATGGAAGAATTGGGAAAAGCTCCCAAGAGTAATGAGATGTAAGACTCGGTGTGATAATACAAACTTTAACGTGTGTTATATATGTAAACACTGTTGCTTTTTGTGGCTTTGTACTGTAATTCTAAGGCACTAAAGAAAATATTTACTGAAAGCCCTCTCTGGCAAAAAATAAAAAATGTAAACAAAATAATCAAGTGGTATATAAAATATGTACAGTGACTCACAGATTTGCCTGAATAAATCTGATTCTAAGAAACAGTTTGCAAAACCTGACCTTCCCAAATTAACTGTTTGTGTGTGAGTCAAATGAATCTAGCATGTGTGCATGTTTTGTAAATGTACATATCCACAAATACCCATTTTCCATAAATAGTGGTAAGTAGGCAGTGTTTTGCATGAAAGTACATTATGTCAATTTTCCCTCTGGTTTTGAATTTGAAAAATTTAGACTACAGATTTATTGATTTGCTTGTGTTTTTAGAACTTAATTTTCTAGGCAATGTGTTGGATCCCATGTAGTTCCTTACTGAGGCTTTTCTCATTGCCTTTAGTTTACATGGGTTGACCTAGAAGCAAGAATTGTAGGTTCATGGGTAATTATGACATGGGTGACTCCATTTTCTATGTTGGAACTGACTGCAGGGCCAAATAAAGAGAGACAGTATTTCTTTGTATTTTTTTTTCTAAAGAGTATTAAGCTGAGGAAATCATAATGTCAATTCATGGAAGTTACTATTGGATTTTTAAAAAATATATTCACAAATTTTATGCCCCAGCTGAGCCCACATTTCTTATGGAACTGATTCAGGCCCAAATTAACCCCCTTCTAACAGAATCTCCAACCTAAAGAAGCAGATCCTTTAGTAAGGCACCAGGTGGCACGGGAGTCTCCTCTCTTCTAAAGTGCTTCATCAGAGATTTTCAGCAATCATCCTAAGACTCCTATAAAGTATAGAAAGAGCAAGAATAATTATTTCAAATTTCCTACTTTGTATTACACTTAAATCCAGCACCCTGGGGTTAATAAATCAGTACTATGGTTAAAAAGAAAATTGGTAACCCCTGAATTCTACTGTGTCACAATTATGTAGTAATAATGGTTGTAAATGCTAGCTTTTATCTAGGGTGAGATAGGTCTCTAGAAAATTGTGAATTATAACAAAATAATTTGTTTGGCAAATACGAATAAATCTCTGAATGTGAAACTGTCATACTTTTTTTTTTTAAGTCATTGCTATGATTTAAGCTGGAAGATTTTAAAATAGACCTTTGAGACAAAACTGTTGAGGGGTTTGTAAACCAATTTAAATTATAATTAATAGCCCATACTAACTGTACAAAGTAATGAGTTTCTTTGTGCCATTTTCATGCATGCATATAACATACTTTTAATTTGAAATGAACTATGTGATACTGTAATTTGCATGTATTATTTCCTGCACTCAGGAGAGGACAACTTTTTGAAATTTTATATATAAAACTTGATTTTGTATTCCTTTACCCTAACTTATTGAAATACCACTTACAGTTGGTATGCTTGTATTATTTGATGGAGACTGTCACCTGCTCATGAACATCTTCTCACATTCGACAAGTACTTAAATCTCATCCCACGCCCTCATCTCTCACCTGCTTTATCCCCATCTCAGCCCCATTATCTCTTCTTGAATGGTTGGAAAATCCTCACTGAATCATACCCAGTGCTTAGTCTTGCATCTTTCAGTTTTTTCCTACAGTTGGCTCAGTCACCTTTTGGATACATAGATAACTAATTTGCTGTCCTTTGTAAAATGCTTTTCTTCACTCTCAGTAAAGCATGTGCAGGTACTCAAAGCCCCCAAGGCCTGGCCCTCATCTATTGATTGCATATTCTTCACCAATCACTTCCTAAACTTCTGTCAAACTGAGATGATCAGCCTAGAATGATGAGGGTTTTTTTTTTTTTTAATTTTTCTTTGATTACATTTATCTGCTTCTTTACCACTCATTCCTCACTATTTGCCATGGGCACTATTTTGAATGGTCCAGGGCCCATTCAGAAGTCACCTCTCTCAGAAAGTCTGTCTGCATTCTTTCAGCAGAAGGGTTGGTTACTCCTGAGCCCTTTCTAACTCTTGTATAAGACAGACAGACTGACTTGTACTGTAATTGTTCTGAATTGTGTTTTCATACAGTACATTTCTCAAGGGCATGATGAGTAAGACCTTATTCATCTTTCAATCCTCTTCAGTGTGAATCAATAAGCAGGCAGTACCTACATAGTAGATAATTGCCACAGGCAGAAGCTATTTGTTGGTTTGCTTAAGGGGAAGGTAAAAGCTGAAAACAAGTAGATTTCTGTGTACAGATTCTAGAACAACAGAGGTAGAAGACGAAGAAACTAAAATGTCTTGAATGTGCATAATCACTAAGTATTTGGATTCTGGAACCATACAGGATTTGCCGCTGGCTACCTTAATGCTTTGAAAAATACATTTTCTATGCTTGAATTTTCTCATCTATAAGATGGAAATAGCATAGGCCTTTCCACTTGGTATGCTGTCTTAAATGAGGTAGATGGAAGGGGAAGCTGGTAAAATAAAAAGCAGAGAGTAGCTGCCATTTAGTCAATACTAAAGTATTGTTACTGTTTTGATTATTCAAGTTATAATAGTATCAATGACATACTAAGTGATTTTAAACTCTTACAGAAGTATTCTGAGGCATGTATTATTATTCCCATTTTATGCATGATAGCACTGAGCCTAAAAGTAGAAGTTTTCCCAAAGTCTTGAAATTTAAAAGTAGTAAAACAAGTTTGGAACTCAGATATATGCATATATATATGTATGCATGTATATGTGCATATATATAATTTTATACATATTGAATTATATAATATATATATATACACACATATATTGTATTTTATATATAACATTTTTAGTTAACTTTATTGTTCTCCTACATGATATCATCTATTCATTATGAGCTTTTTTGGACATCTTAATTACTTTTCAATAAATTTTTCTGATTGTAAAAATAATGCCTACCACTTGTAAAATTTTTGAGAAACACAGAATGATACAAAGAACAAAATTATATGGAATCCCTCTACCAAGAAAAAGAAACTTTAAACATTTGTTCTAACATTAAGATTGGCCACTATCCATACATTTCTGCCAACAGTGATTATCTCCTTAAGGAAATTCTTGATAGAGGAATAAATGAAATGTGTATTTTTGATACTTTTAATAAATACCATTAAGTTGATTTTCAAAAATATATTAACATGCTATCTAAATTTTAGAGTTGCCTACCCCTTAGCATATAGGAAATTTCTTTATTCAACTTTGCTACTATATGATGTGAAAAAATCAGTATAGCTGAACATTTTACTATTTCTTAAAAATTTATATTTATTCCTGCTCTTCCAATTCTTTGACCATTTTCCATATCTATATCTATATAGTGTTTATTACTTTTTATTTATTTCTATGAACTTTTTTGAACTTTAGACATGTCAGTCCTCAATAGAAGCAACATGATCTTTTCTACAAAATTAGGTATCACTTCCCTGTCTCAAAACTATCAATAGTTTATTTTTTATTTTTAATCAGAGAAAAAAACAAAATCTTTACTGAGATTTCATATCTTTATTTTTTTCAACTTCGCCTGCTTCTGAACCGCATCATGAACTTGCCGCTCACCACTCATACTGACCACCTATCTATCCCTCTGTCATCTGCCCAACTCTTTGCTGCTCTGAGTTTTGTGCATGTGTTCTTGCTCCCAGATATGCTTTCCTGACTTCCTTTCATGTACTGATTCCTTCTCAACTGTAGGGCTCAATTCATACCTCTGGGGTATGCACTTTATAACCTATTTATTCATTTACTATATCGAGGACATGTTTCCAGGTTTTCGTCTTCAAAATATTTTATTCATTTCAAATAAGCATTGCTCATTTTCTCAACAGAAATTCTCATTATTTTTAATTATCTTGAAAATTCACTTATTTGCTCATTTAATGCCTATATTTCCTACCAAAAAAAAAAAAACTCTGGGGCAAGGATTTTATTTTATTTTCCATTTTAGCTCTGGTGCCTAAGAGAGTGCTTGGCACATAGTAGATACATGATAAATATTTGTTAAACATTTTAATTAAATTTTTTCAAATATTTTCCTGTTTTTAATTTGTTTATAACTTATTCATGAGTATGAGTCATATTTTATTTTTGGAAATTGAAGGCAACTCAGAATTTAATAGAAATATTAGATAAAATTAAAAAGCAGATGAAGTTAAATGAAAATAATTCCTTATTCTGCTATCACCTACTAATAGCCATTTCTGCTTTCATTTGGGGATATGTGTGCATGCTTTCTTTAATAAGATTATGATTCTGGGATATGTACTTTATAACCTATTTATTCATTTACTATATCAAGAACATGTTTCCATGTTTTTTGTCTTCAAAATATTTTATTCATTTCAATTCTATTATTACATCATTACACTTCTCTGTAGCTAGAAATGTAAGTTATAATACATATTATAAAAGAATGTAAATATTATACCTTGCATAATCAGAGGTCTATTTATATTTATCTTGGAATAGACTTCCAAGAAATGTACATTTCATAATGTTTTAACATATGTTGTCAAATATCTCTTAAATTTTTTGAATCATTTTATACCTCTGTTAGTGGTACAAGAGGGTTTGTTCACATACACTCAAATACTGAACATTCTATAAAGCAAGGTTTTCTTGCCAGTTGGATAAGTGAAAACTTACAATCCCATCCTTGTTGTACAGCTTAACATTAAAAATAATCTTTATTGAATGTGATCCATTTGCATTCTTCTTTATTTGTATTCACTTGCATTGTGTCTTTACTTAATTTCCTGTTAATTTCCTCTGCCTGCATTTCCATTAGATCATTTGATTTATTTTTCCCTCTGTGATTGGCAAAAACACTTCCTTATTCAGAATACTAATTTGTGAGTGTCAGATAGATTTCAGTACCTTCAATGTGTTACCTCTGTGTGCATGCACATATATAAACATAGGGTAGAAGGATGAGCTACTATGACAGTTCAAAATGACAGTGGTTTGAAGAAAATAGATGTCTGGTATTTCTCAAAAATTTTTCCTGATGTCAGTTGTTCAGATATGAGTGGCAACTTTATGTCAGTGCTCAAGTTCCTTCTTTCTGATGACTCCTCTGTCCCCTAGAGCAGTGATCAGCAAACCACCATCTACTTCAGCCTACCACCTGTCTTGGTAAATAATATTACACTGGAACACAGCTCTGCCGCCCCCACTTTATTTTACATATTAAGTGGTTGAGATGGGGACCACAGAGTTCACAAAACCTAAAATTACTATCTGAACAATTCTGGGAACATTTGCTAACCCTTGCCAAAGAGCACTGTCCTTGTCTCTGTGGTCAACTGACCAATGAGCACATCCCCATATAATAACATGAGAAGGGGAAATGAAAAGCTTCAGGAAAGGCAGCTTGTCATCAAATTAGGGATAACCTCAAAGTGCACACATAGCCACAACAAGCTTCATTGGGAACTGGGAAAAATAGTCTTTAGTAGAGTGCATAGGTTTCCAAACTAAATTCTACAATCAGACAAAGACCAGACTTGAGAGTACTTTCAAGTCTTTGCACAAGATATTTCCCTCAGTATTAATTAGAAAAATAGGCTTCTTCCCCAGTGATATCTGTGTCTCAGTCCCTGCAAAACATGTGAATTTCACTGTACTTGCCAAAAGGAGCTTTGAAGCTGTTATTAAGCTAAGGATATAGACCTGAGCGATCACCCTGAGTCATCTAGGACCAAGCATAATCCCAAGGGTACTTACAGCAGAAGAGATGGAGAAGGGAGAGGCAGAGGCAGAACTGACACATCACCTTAGAGCACATGTGCATGTCATAAAAAGACTGTGGGTGGGCATAGGATTGCAAGAGGTACTGTTTGTAAAGACTCGGAAGGACATGAGGAACACATTATGGTAAATTGGCAAGAAAGAGATCCTTGTTATATAGTGAAAACAATTTAGCAGGACTGAATCCCACAGTTGTGTGGAAAGTAGAACTTACAAACAATGAACGTGGATATTTGGCCGAGGATTTCTTTTTTCCTTTTTTTGCAGTGTGGGAGATCAAAGTAAGATCCTCACAAATACTAGTCAAGCTGCAGACCATTCTTGAGCAAAGT